TTTGAGGAATTTTTACAACTTCAAAAATATTGAATTTTTTAATCGTTTATTATTAAACGTACGACAAATTGAAAGAGAAGAATGGAAAAATATACTGCAAGTACAAGAGCAAGGAAATTAAAAAAAAAGGACAGGAAGCCGAAAGAGAAACCAGAAAGTAAATTAAGGAGAGTGTAAAAACCCATAAAGTTAGTAGATTCTACAGAATGGTAAAAAAATACGTGAATCACTAACGCTAGAGGGTACACTTTGTTTTCTCTCTTATTTTTTCAATCACTTTAGAAACACCCAGTTAAGTGTACATAATTGGCAACGCATGAACGAATGATTCATACAAATTTCCTGTATTCTAACAGTCCTAAATGGCCATGAGAGGCTACCGAACATATTTCCAAGTGCATTCAGAATATTGATACTCTGATGGAACAGAACGTCAGTTTATTCGTCTTTTCACTTTCACGAACATTGCACGAGCGAATGAATGAAGGTTGTTATAGTGAAAGTGGGCGACGGTGAACGTGCAACGTTTTCGTACGGATATGCAATCGAATGAGTTTCGATGGGAATGGTAACTACACGCGGCTCGAATTTCGAAGAAGCAAAGTTCTATTATTTGAACTTCTGAGTGGTGATTGACGGTGAAAGTGGTAGACGAACGAAGCAGTTCGAGCATACTGGAGAACGCGAGAGACGAGCTTTGAACTGGAAATCGAACGAGTACGAATTTCTAACTTGAAGTGGAAATCTTTTGCAATTATTGAAGAATTCTTCGAAGAAATGTAAGAAATGCGAGATTTCGGCGGCGAAGTGGTGGCCTGGACTTTGTCACCCAGGAAGAGAAAGTGCGCGGGTACCTGAGGATACCGTAAACTAAGCCCTTTCCCCGGAAAGTCGAACGAGGGGGCTCCAATGGTTTTTCGGGGCAACGCAGGATAGGACGCGGAGAGGACACTCTTAACACATTGAGCGCCGGCGACCTGAGAGACATTAGAGACATTTAAAGCCTGAGCGCCGGCAACGTATCGGCCACTTAAAGCCCAAACGCCGGCCTCGTTCGCTTGTTTCTGATCAATGAGTAGCCAAAAAAAATGTTCAAAACATTATACATTTTCGTAAAATAGTACATACACCCATACCAGCGCTCAAGCGATAGACTCAGAATCCCGCGTTTTCACGGGGCCGGCGCTCAATGTGTTAATATAGCCGTCGAGCGAGACGGACACCGGAGTACCATAGCATCCTCTTACATTTATAAAATAATACGTTTCGGTTAACAGCCTATCGCGTGTTACGTTTACATAAGTTTTGCTGACAGAAAATCGAATTTTTCCAATATCGAAAATAGAAATTTGAAATGGAGAAAATCACTCTGAAACCGAGGAACGAAAATCGTTTTTTAAATTAAAACAAACATCACTCCCAGATTCCCCGATAATAATTTACCAAAAATTGTCTCAGAAATTTTCAACGTTTAAGTAATCACTCGATAGAAGATTCTAATTCCCCATTTGAAGAAATGAGGAAATTATGAAGATTAGGGTTAAACATGAATTGAATGTTTGGTCGCTGATAATAAATTTCACTTATTCAACAGAATCCCATTATTTCGAGAACGAGACCAAAATTATATAACTCTCTCCATAAAACGTACAAGGTGTCCCACTTACAGCAAATATCTAAATCATTTCCCCTAAAGGTCATCTCGAAGGTCATTCCAAGGTCACCATCATTGTTTCACACATGACACTCTTATCTCTCCCTCGTTTCGCTATTATCCCACTCTCTTCGACGTAATTTCAAGGCTGTTGCGTCATAGGTCACTGAACTCCTCTCGACCTTCGGTACAATTTTCATTAACCCTTCGTTTCTCATTTTCGAAAATTAATTTCCACGTTCGTCGTATAACTGAGACACCCTGTATCATGACATAACCCCCATGTCACCAATAATCAATCTAAACCTATTCCGACTCATTTCAACGAACGTCCCATTTCATTCACCTTCCAGAACCGAAGCCGCCGCACAGCCAGGCCACCTGTCCTCGCGTCTCTGACCACCGCCTTACATATTCCGCTCACAGTCATTCGCACGCTCTCGAACTTCAGAAGTCATCACAACAGTAAACAACGGGATTAGTCATCGTACGAACTTAGAAAACCTGACCCTCTCCTTCTCTGTGCAAAACCGTTTATGCAACACGAGAGTGTATCTACTCTTAACACAACCACCGCTGTCCTCCTATGCGTGCACGTTAACACAGTTAAGCGTAAGAAGACGACGACGACACTTAGCCACAGCTAGCCAGCCAGACGGCGAGGGGAGGCTGTGATACGACTCCGTAGAAATGTGCAACGAATGTTTGTGTACGCGTGTGACATCGCGTGTAGTTTTAGCACGATGATGTCACCCCGTGGTTGTAACGGATCGTGACGCAGCCGCTTTGATTGCCCCGATAGTTTGTTACACAGCCAGCCAATCTCTCTCTCTCTCTCTCTCTTGGTTCTGACACCGAAACGATGACGCATACGCGAGGCGACACACACGACTGTGTGACGTTGCGCCGCTGATTAGACTCGGTTGCGTTCGCGCATGCGCGTTGCGATATTTCTGGTGTAACAGAGGTTCTCACGACTGACCGCGAATTAAAGTCCAATTTCTTTATCGCCGGGAGAATTGTATAGGAGAGATGTTGACAGGGATAACGGTGAATCTCGTTAACAACGAGTTTCTTTTTATTCCGGAGATTTTTTCATCGGAACAGGATTCTCTCGCGAATTACGGGAGAAAGAATTTTCAGGGAAATTGAGAGGTTATGTTTAATTTATGTTGCGTCGTAAACAAACGCGGTTTTTCCTACACCCCAGGACACTACGAAACTAGGCCCGAGCAGTACTCGAAAGCGTCAACTTCACCACCTAATTTATCAACTAGACTCCAGAGCCAGACTGCGAACTCTTACCCTGGCGCCTTCGTTGTTCGACAAAATAAATACCGCAGACGCCCGAGAAAGTAGAAACCGAAAACATTCCCAGAATTTCCCACCTTCCACTGCCTTTACCCTTTCCTAAAAGAAAGCTCACTCCCACATCGTCCAATCGAAAATTAGTCGCAGACACCCTTCGGCCTTCGTAAGGCAAAGACACAATTCAGCCTTCGTAAGGCACGTACACGTAATCTCGACTCGATCGAACTTTCGTAAGATACATTTCGTAGAACACATTCAACAGAATAATCATAGTTACACTTGTATCTATTGAATATAGTTGTCATAAAGTTCTAAGGTGTTTCGCTATCCATGTACTAAACATTATACAGTCCACTCTACTCTTAAAGGACTTCAATTTATGATAACAATTTACGATAGTCGGGTTTGAAAATTACGCTTGGTGGTTGATGTTTTTGTTATGGTAAGAGAGATAGGGGTTATGTGTTACGGGGTAATTTATGATAGCTAATGGGAAATATTGGTATCGGGTACTTAGTAGAGCGTGATAAAGAGGTTATATTTAATTATTAGCTTTGATATTGGGTACTTGGCAGAGGATTTGTTTTTTAATGCGAGCGAGATGGACAGGCTGTGTTTTGGGTAAACAAGGTGGAGAGGTTATGTTCACGATAGAAAATATGAAACTTTGACAGCGAGCACTTGGTAGAATTTGTTTGTTAATATAAATGTGACAGAGAGGTTATGTTTAATATACGATAGAAAATATTCAGTACTTGGTAGAACGTTTGCTTTTTAATGCAAACAAGATGGAGAGGTTATGTTTACTTTACGATAGAAAATATGAAACTTCGACAGTGATTACGTGGTAGAATTTGATTGTCAATGTGAATGAGATAGAGAGGTTATGTTTAATTAAATTCTGACATTGAGTACTTGGTAGAATTTGTTTGTTAACACGAGTGAGGCAGAGAGGTTATGTTTAATTTACGATAGAAAATATGAAACTTCGATAGTGGGTAACTTAGTAGAACGAGATAGAGAGGTTATGTTTAATTTACGATAGAAACTATTCAGTACTTGGCAGAATCTGTTTCTTAATACGAACCAGATAGAGAGGTTATGTTTAATTAAGCCTCGATATTGGCCGCTTACTAAAATATTTATTTTTTAACCCAAACAAGGCGAAGAGGTTATGTTTACTCTACGATAGAAAATACGAAACTTCGACAATGTTTATCGACTAGTTTATCATTTTTCAAGAACTAGACACAGAACTGTTCACAGAACTAGATGACTTCATAGAAGCGTCTAATGCTACTCGCTCTCGTTACGCGCGATAAATAATCGCTCTCGTGAAAATTCATCGTTTCAAGGAAACACTTCTCGTACGTCATGCGTGTTCCAGCAGATGAATGAACGACTCCAATTAAAGGCGTTCTTCCTTTAAAAACCGACAACCACCACCTCCTTCTCGCGAACGAGAGACAAGTGGAATCAGTGAGTCACACGCGGCACGCCGTCGAGCAGAGATTAATTTGTAAAATTTTGAATTCCCCCGACACCTACTCAAATAGATGTATGATGTCACGCGGCGCGTTCGCGACAGTCATCGCGAAAATATGCGTAATTACGCGAACATATCGCTTATTATCTCGATAACGAGACGACGTCTCTTTAATTGCTTCCTCGCCACAGACACTTTCCCTCCGCTTGCATTATTTCCTTTCGACACTGTCTCCTAGCTGCTCAACTCACAGCATCAGCTTCAATGTATTCGTTCTTATGAATGAAACTGCACTATTTCTTAGTACAGAGTATGTTTCTTTCAAATTACTGTCTTACATTTGAAGGAGATTCCTGAAAAACACTTTTTTGCGTGGGAAAAAATTGAACTCATCTGTGAATGATGACGCCATTACGAATATTTTCGTATCTCCCAATTTGGCTCACATGACAGAGCTTGACGTTGATGGAGGTATTCAGTTAAACGAAGAAGAACGTCGATCTTTCGTATTTTCCTTGCAAACTGACCAATCACCACAAAATTACTTACGGATTTGAGAAAGGCACCCCTGCCCTTGTGCAGCAGGCTGCTACGAGGCCTGCTGCTCCCATGCTTGTGCAGCATGTTCAGTCCCCTGTCGACGCTCATTCATAAATCTCCTTTGACCCACTGCCACGAGAAGAAAGTTCAACCGGTTTGGTAATTGACCGTCACACACTGTTCTAACTTCCAACTACCTCCTTTCTCCTTGTTCACAATACTCCACGATCACTGTGCCCGAAAAAAGTGCCCCCTCCTACGATCCACTGTATTCCCAAAAGTTCAAATTCATCGATTTCCCCAATCGCATATATTCAACCTATTAAAAAACATCTCTCGATAAATTAATTAACGCGCTCATACGACTAATTACGCAATTTGTTTCCATTACAGTTTAATAGGCTAATGAATTTTACGAGTCCCTCTCGTACGAATCAATCTTTCACTCGGCAATTATTCAGAATCGCGTTCGTTGGAGCGTCGAGAATACTCCTCGTTATCAGCGAGCCGCGAGGAAGCAGTTCGCGGGGACGAAAATAGAAAGACAGAGAGGTTGGTATCGAAAAGTAAGAGCGCGAGAGGAGGAAAGAAGATCCCTCGGAGACGAGTGGAAATTACGGGTGGAGATAACGAAATTCGTGGCTTCAGGACCAACGCAAACAGGTCGATACCGATCGAAACTCGCTATCTGCGGTTTTTCCATCGCGCAACCACCCTTAGGTGGGACAGCTGTTCAAACACCGGCCGTGTTTTCTTCGCGGAGGAATTCTTACGCGGTCTCGATAAGTTCGAAACGTGCGTGTTCGAGGAAAACAGTATCCTGGCAATTTTATGAAAGATATTTCGGTGGAAATGTTTGGCCAAGTCGAGGAATACAGTCAATTCATCGAGAAGAAACAAGATTTACTTTTAACAAGTAATTTCTCTCAAGACTTTCGAAGGAATCTTTTCTGGAAGGTGTAATTCTTGAAGTGATGTCGAAAAATTCAATAAGAAATTACGAAGGCTTGAACTTAATTGCACACGATACAAAGACACTGAACTCGTAGAATACAAGTTTTATCGAAACACCTGTTGTCCGCAAACAAGAGCAAACATTTCTAAACACCTCAACACCCGATAACGCAATCTCCAATTAACACAATCCCCGACAAAAGGATCCAACACAAAAGTCCTTATTCTAACACTTCGATAAAAACAACAAATCCACGACAAAAGTAAAAAAAAAGCCACAACCACCGAGCAAATCTGTCCTAAAACCAGCCATCTTGTGAAGCACGTCAACTCGAAACATAAAAAAAAAATCGCCACAGGTAGTGCGACGCAAGAGATTCTCGAAAGCGCGTTATCAGCGTCTGTTATCAGCGTCGATAATATTCGCCGTAAGAGAAGGCCCGCGATAAGAGCAGGTCGGTCGTGGATAATTTTCGACAGCCAATTTTGGCTCTCCTGTTCGTGTCCGTGTGTGCAACCGTGGAAGGAAATCGAGAGAAACATCCGGTTTCCGGTCAGGGAAGTCACGTACGAGTCCCCCGTGTCGTTGTTTCTCGCGCGCGCGTGCAGACAGGAATGCACGTGGCTTTGTTCTAGCCGGCGTCGAGACGCGCGTCTCCTCCGTTGCATTTCTATGCAGCCGCGGCGGCCATGCGGAAGTGGCGAACGCGCGCTCCGTTGCGCAACCGAACGCGGCCGAAAAGCTGGCGCGACGCTCCTCCACGTGCCTCTCGACGTCCTCGCCACTCTCTCACCAAGGAGAAGAAGCCTCCATTTTGTCTATCTCGCGGAGAGAGAGTAGCAAATATACACAAGTTGGTTGCTTGGTCACGACGAAGGATTTCATTGAGCAATTTGTACCAATTGGTACAAATACGTACTCAATGAACACAGTGGTATCAAGGTTACGAGTTTCTTCTTCTTTTTTTTCTAAGGGACCACTTGGTAGTTTGCAGGGACATTCGGACGACGGATATTGAAGATACTTGTCGTGTGTCGCGTAGGTATAGTAGCCTTATCGGTCGGAGTTATTTTATGGTAGCGCGTTTGCTCAAGCTGTGCGCACATTACTTTATTTTTTGTCTCCCGTTTCTGTGGGTGAAGCGTGCACAGAGAGTTTGGAAGGTGAACACGCCTTGCGAACCGCAAAGAGTTAAAGATCACCAACAATCACTCTGTTACGCAATCTTAGCAATTCGACGAACCCAGCGAAAGATCGATTCCTTAAGAAACACTCGAAAATCTCGTTAACCCCTTCTAATACCGAAATCACCTTTAAAACACACTCGACGAAGGTGCAACGAAAGCGATCATATCTCTGCGACTAGCCATCGCCAACTTATTCAACCTTTAAATACTGAATTTACTCGAAAGGCGGCATAGATCGAGGATATCCCGGCGCGGAACGCGATCTTAGAGGTGATCGAACGTAGAGATCACCGTTCACCGTGATCACCTTGGATCGGCTGACACCCCCCCCCCCGCCCCCGTCCCCCCCCCCCCCCCCCCCCCCCCCCCCCCCCCCGCCGCTACAAATACCCGTTATCATCGACGGCGGCGCTTCTTATCAGGCGGTTTGGCACGAGAGCCAAGCGAACGAGACCCGGAATCAGCTGGTCCCCACGAGCGGCCGGCCTGATCGAACGGAGAGGCATCGACAGGTGGAGAGGGACGCCTAATCGCGGCGGAGTGCCGCTTCCGTGGAACTGATGATTCATAAGAGGAAAGGATCGAAGGTGGGGGGGAGAGAGGGGATGCTGCTTCTGGGAATTTTCTCGTCGACATCACCGCGCCCTGAATACTTGATGGAGAGATGGCGGAGGTGGGAGGTGATAAGGACGGGATGTTGGGAGGAAGTGTGACGGTTTGTGGAGCTCTTTTGGTTGTTCTGTCGGGGACTGCGG